CTCTCTGAAATGAATAAAGGCATGTTTAAAAAAAAATCCTCTAATTTCACAAAGAGATAGTGTTTGACCAATGATTCATTTACTTTTATATTAGAATCATTTTTCTCTTGGTACATCAGGCAATTGATTGATTCTCCTTTGTGAGTATATGAAAAAATAAAAGGAAAAATGAAGAGGGCAAAAACCTTGGGTAGTCTGAATGAAAATCTGGGTGGTGTCAGATAGCATCGGTCATGAAAGAGGTGAGAAACAAATTGCTAACTGTAAACACTTATTAAGCACCCACTTCATGGTGAGCTCATGGACACGCATATTAGACCATGGAGAAGCCAGAGAAAAAGACACTAGGTTGCTTTGCATAATTTCGAGGAAAAAGTTCCTGTTCAAAATGTAAATTATCCATCAATATTCATGTGTCTCCTTTAGAGAAATTTTTATCATACTGAGAAGATACTTGTCAAAATCAGCAAAAATAGGTACAGCTAGGTTCTACAGTAAAATTTCTTCAAACAGGGTTTCCATTCTTTCCTCTCTCTTTTCCACTCCTGCAACTCCAATTATATGCATGATAAACTTCTCTCCTTTACATCTGTTAGTCTTTTCTCTGTTTTCCACCCTGTATTCTCTGCTTCAGCCTGGATATTTTCTATCACCCTATCTTCTAGTTTTTTAACTGTCTATACAACTGTATTGATTCTACTGGTAAACCCATGTGTTGTATTCTTAATTTCAGGTATTATTTTTAAGTTCTAGAATTCTATTTGATTCTTTTATATAAATTCAAAATCTCCCCTAAAATAGTTCATAGTCATTCTAAAGTCTAAATATGATAATTGTATTCTGTGAATATCCTTTGAGACTTTCTATTGTGTGTCTTTCTCTCAGTTCCTGTTATCTTATCAGGTCTCCTAATATGCTTGTTAATTTTTTAAAATGTTAAGTTTATTGGTTTGGTAATTTTTGATTGCCTGCTGAAAATTGTATGTGAAATAACTTAGAGATAATTTGAGGCTCTGGCCACCTTATCTTTCGCAGGAGAGAAATGGGTAGTAAGAGTAGGATCAGATTTCTTTAATTCATTCTAGGACTGATATGATTTAAAGCTGGATATAAGTATTTGCAAGGACTGGACTGTCTCCAGTTTGCCTTTATTCTTAAGGTATAGCCATTCAAGAGTCCAACTGAAAACTTGCAGAGCTAACCAGGTCCACTTCGCTTCGGTTTGCCCTGAACTCTGATTTTTGTCTTCACAGCCCTTTTAAGCTGCTGAAAGCCCTACTCAGCTTCTCAGATGAAGTTTTCTCTGCAACATCTTGGCTTCCCTGTATTATTTTTTAATCAGAAAGTGCCTTGAGGGGAAAGGAGACAATGCTCAGGGCTTTCATTCTCTCTGGAATTCTGATAATTCAAATTATTTCAATTATTATAATTCCTTAATGCCTTCCAATATTATTTTAATTTCATATAACTTTTCTAGTTGTTTGTATTGAGAGTTTGTCTGATGCAACAAAGCTGAAAATGGGTATCTTCAATATCTATTAAAATTAAACACATACATACCCCCTGACTCAGCATGTCCATTCTAGGATCTGATCCTACAGGAAAGCTCATACATTCCCCAAAGCATGTGTACAATAATGTTCATCTAGTATTATTTGTAATATAGCAAAAGATATAAAAGATATCAGTAAAGAATAAAGTCTATCAATAAAAACAGGTTCAATATATTATCCATGCAATAGAACACAGTGATGTGGAAACGAATGACCTGGATTTTATGTGTTAAGGTGGAAGCTGGAAAATAATGTGTATATTATGTTCCAATTTAGGTAAAAATGGATAAACGCATGTATACATATTCACATATGCAAAAACTGTTTTTGAACAGATATATAAAAATACAAAAGAGTGTTTGCTCAGGGAAAGAACAGAAAAAAGGGAGGGTTTAGATTCAGTGGAAGATTTTCATTATTTTATAGTGTTTGAATTCAGTTTTTACATAGTACATGCCTAAATTTATAATAAACATTATTTAAAAGAAAAATAAAATATAACATGAGAGGTGCTACATACTAGCAAAGAAGAAAATGGCAGCTCAAAGGGGGCAAGAGAACCTCAAAGTATCCATCTCTGAGTTTAGACTTTAAGGACAGACTGAATTTATTAGGTGAAGGAGAGATAAAGCATATAGAGAAGGGAAGTGGGACATGGAGGTATAAGGGGATACTCACTCTACGGAAACCATCAACAGTTCTAAATTGATGGCGGGTAGGGTGGATGTCGGAGACTGGCTGTCTTATGAGCCTCATTTTCCCCAAGGACAGACTGTGCCATGTTAAGAAGTTTAAATTTTGTTTTGAGGTGATGGGGAATGACTAAAAAGTTTACAAAGAAAGTGTAACATGATCAGTTTTGTATTTCATATATATTATGATAGCAGCACTGTGGACAATGGGTTGACAAGGGGTAAGGCAGGAGGAGATGGACTCGAGCTATAAGACTGCTGCAATATGGTGCTTGTCTTTCTCTGACTGGCTTATTTCACTTAGCATAATGCTCTCCAGGTTCATGCATGCCATCGCAAAGGGTAAGATTTCCTTCTTTTTTAAGGCTGAGTAATATTCCATTGTATAAATATACAACAGCTTTTTTATCCACTCACCTACTGATGGACACTTGCGATGCTTCCAAATTTTGGCTACTGTAAATAACGCTGCAAGTACCATATGATTTCACTCATATGTGGAATCGAATGAACAAAATTAACAAAAGAGAAACAGACTCATAAATAGAGAGCAGGCTGACGTCAGGGGAGGGGAGTTGTGGTGCTAGGTGAAAAGGTGAAGGGATTAAGCAAAGAAAAAAATTTCATAGACACAGACAACAGTATATTGATTACTCAAGGGAAAGGGGGTACAGGGAGGTAGGAGAGGGCAAAGGGGGGATAAGTGGTGATAGAAACTTGAATCGCGCTGGTGAACACACAGTATATAGATGATGCAGTATAAAATTGTACACCTGAAACCTACATAATATTATTAACCAATGTCACTCTAACAAATTCAATTAAAAAAAACCCCACACAAACAAACAAACAAATAAACAAAGATTGCTGCAATAACCTAGGGCAGACCCTAATGCAGTGAAAATAAGAAAAGGGACAGATAATAAAATGTAAGGAGACAGAATTAGAAGAACTTGAGGCCTTATTCATAAATAATGGAATATGTGAAATCATTTGTTACAGTTCACTTTTTTTGGCTCAGACAAATGAGTAGACAATGGACCCTTCACTGTCAGGAAAGCAATGTTCAGTTCTGCAGCTAAGGGTGTGGTGCTTGAGGACATCTAAGAAAGGAAGGCGTCGGTGGCAGCTGAATATACACGCCTGGAGCATATGAAGATGGCGGAAGAACAGGCTTAATCGTCGTAAGAATAAAACTGGGAGTTGAAGTCATGGGGATATTTAACATTACCACAGGAGGAAGGCTGTGGATGGAACCACAACACATAAGGGTGGAATGTATATGGTAAGTCCCAAAAGGAAGCTAAGAAAGTACTCAGAAAGGTTTCAGGAGCGAGTAGTATCATAGAAGCCAATGGATGACAGTATCAAGAAGCATCAGTCTTTCAGAGAAATCGAGAAAGACAGGGCCCGAAGTGTGTTGTTGGTATTGAGGAACCAGAAGATGATATATTTGATCACTGTTTTAGAGTTCCCTAGTGCTTGTTTAAAGATGTGAACCTAGATGCAATGCTGGCCATAGAACAAACTGCTGTAAGAAAAGTACAATCAGAGGGGCATGGAAAGCAACCATGTCCATTAGATAGACTTAAATAAATGACACCAAATTGTCTAGAACTCAAATATAATTTGTCATAATTATAAAATCATTCATTTTTATTTTTAATCTTTACTATTTGCCTGGCACATATTAGGTGCTTAAAAACACTTAATGAAAGAGAATGAATTAACATTTTAGGGGTTTCTAATCATTTGGTGCATGTTGATAAACCAAAAAATAATCAAATACAAATAGCTCAAAGAAAACGTGAAAGCCATAAAGTTCATGAATGAAGAGTGGCAGTGTTGACAGTTCACATCATAGCAATGGTATTAAGAACACTGATGAATTAAGAGCATGGGAGGGGAAAATGATAACTTATTAAAGGAGATCAGTTCTTTCATAAAAGTAGGGTGATTTTCTTTCTCCCATCATGATTGTGGAATAAAAAACTCTAATAATTAAACTATTCTAGTTTATGAAAACTGCCATACTATTCTTAACATTTGCCTCAAAACGCTAATAAAATACAGGGTGGGCAAAAGTAGGTTTACAGTTGCAGTACAAGTAAATAATACAATAATTAATAAATAATAATACAAGAATAAACTCTGTGTTTCTCAAATTCACAACTATAAGCCTACTTTTGCCCACCTCTGTATAGTACAGTTAATAGAAAAGCGTGAAAGTAACTGAGTCTTTCTTAAATGTTTAGAACACATTTAGGACTTGACAGCAGTAAGGGCTAAGCAATTATAACTTGGAATCTTGGGATAACTTCTTTACTACTCTGCAAATTAATTTTCTAACTCATAAAAGAGAAGAGGTTAAATTAGATATTCTCTAAAGGAAGTTTCTACTCACATTTCGGATGAAACAACATCTAATCACAGACACTATCAGATACTTCAGGTGTGTAGGACTTTTTGTATAGCATAAAATGTGCACTTTTATAAAAGTAGACTTTCTGACAGAACAATTTCCTTTTAGATACAGCTTACATTTTTATTCAGGCCAACAAGCTGGTAATAACTTCTATAATTAATTTTAGACATTTTCATACCCATTAGAAGTTTAAGTTTTTCATAAAAATATATCATGAATGTATGTGAGTTTTTCTACATTAAAATTGATTTCATAATTATCATAACCTGACATTATTTTTCTGTGCTTTAAATGCCTATATTTTGAGAAACACGTAGTACAAATTCTTACCTCTAAGAGATAAGGCTCCATTTGTTCCAGGGTTTTTCCAAGATGCTTATCTGGATTTAAACCTGCCAAGAAAGTTTAAATTTTAAAAATAAATGTCTGATTAAAAGTTTAAAGACACATTCCCCTTCCCTTGAGCCCTCCTCACCTAGGAAATGAGTAGGTGTATATTTTAAATTGCTTTGATCCTAAAATAAAATGCACTTTGCTAATATTTACTTCCCCATTCCCCTTGGGTAACTGTTTTTCTTGCCCCTGAAAAGTGTCTTTTTCCAATTCATTTCAATTGCATTGTGTCATCTACTAGGTGCACTGTTTCAATTCGTTTTCCCTTTTTTGAATTATGTAATTAGGATAGAAAAAAAAAGTACCATTTCAAAGATATAAAATTAACTTATAGACAACAGTGAGAATTTTTCTGATTTATACCTGTTTTATCTGACCTTCAAACATCTTAGTTAGAGAATAAAAGGAGAAAATAGAAGAGTGGTAGACGGGTAGGCCTCTATAGTTAATTCACTTAACAGCAGCGTACAGACACACATAGTTGTATCATCAAATTAAATATTTCACTTTGATGATTGCTTTTGTGACAATGTATTCTCCAAGGAAAGACAGAGACAACTCTGAAAAATCATTATGTACCACTAGCACGTGCATAATCTCGTAAAGATGTTGAACCAGCCGCTGCAACGTTAGCTTGTGCCTGGCAGCAGCTGCCACTGGTAGGCAGCGGAGGAGGGAGGGTGGGGCCGGCGAGCCTGCCTCGCTGCGGGGTGGAGCCCGCAGCGCCTCCGCAGCACTGAGACGGGCCCTGGGCTGGGCTCTCTTCCCAGCTGCTGCTGGCCAGGACAGTGGCCCAGAGAAGTTGAGGCTGGACAGGAAATGTGCCGGCACCAAAAAGACGGGCCCCCAGAGCCCTGCCAATCTGGGGCTCCACACCGCATTTCCAGATTCACAGGCTGGCTAAACATTAATGGAAAGAGAAGCATAAACCTATCTTCTCTCACTATGGAGGCAGGTTTGGCAGATGGGAGAAGCTGACTGAACTTCAATCTTGCCATATTCAGAAGTTGCTGAAGTTCAAGAGATGCTTCTTGGTGACAACAAAGATGTCTTTGGGCCATCAACTGTGGTAGCAAATAGAAGAACCTCAACTCTGACACCAGGAAAGATGAGTCAGGGTCAAGGGAAAGAAGTTTATCCAACCCAACCACAGATTTGTATCAGCCGTCTTTTAGTCCAGCGAGAACTCATAGCCAGGGTTTTGAAAGAGGAAAGGAAGACCCTTCTCAAAATAAAGATGATTCTTCTCTTAATATGTCAAAATGAAGTCTGAACTTCAAAATGGCTTGGAGGACAGTTCAGCTTCAAGCAAGTTTACACAAAAAAAGAAACTCTCAAGGTGCAAAAAAAAAACAACAAAAAACCCACAACAAAAACCCTAGAAAAAAAGAGCCGCAAAGGAGTTAGTACAATCACAGATCTTTCTGTTACTGTACTGGCTGACTGGGTGAAGATTCGTGGTACTCTAAAGAGCTGGACCAAGTCTGGTGTGTGTTGAAACCTGGAGTGCTACTGATCTATAACCTCCCAAAATGGTCAATAGATAGGAACAGCCCTGAATGCCTGTGAAATCATTGAGCATCTATCAAAAAACCTTTTTTATTCTTTGAAGGAGTCTATTTGGGCAGTAAAGGGTCAAAAAGACAAAGCAGCTGGATCCATTACTCAGCCCTTCCCTAGCAGTTACTTAACCATCCAAGCTACCTGACAGTCAGACGGAAGGTCTTGGATGGATGCTTTGGAGTTGGCTTTGAACTGTTTTAGTCTTAAACATACAATGATCAGGGAAGGAAAGGAACATGAACTGAGCATTTCATTAGAGAGCACATATGTAACTTTTTATGGCTTATTACATGCTAACAATCTCCACGGTGGAAACAACTTCCAGTTAAATGACAGTAAAATTGAATGACAGCATTTTAAAGGCCAAGATTTGTATTCTGACAAATCCAGTTCTTATTTTTTCCTTTGTTATTTTTTTGCCTCATATTGGATTGAAAAGGATTTTTGTCTGTTTTCTCTAATGATTAGGAAGCTACAGACTGTGTTTCTACTCTTTCAGTAATCACTTGTAATTTTTAACATACATTCAGAACCACAGTATTTTAGTCTGAATGTATTATCTAAAAATTTATGAATATTAAGAGTATAAATCTAAGAATTTATGTTTAGCATCCCTTTGACCAAGAGAAATTATGTTTTAACTAGACACTAAATAAGGTCCACAATTTCAGTTGTTATTATTGTGTTAAATTTTAGTTCCATCATTTTGTGCAAGAGAAATTAAGTTTACCCACATATTTCACAACGTCTGTGCTCTCCATCCTCTTCCATGCCTCCTGGAGCTCAAGCTATTTCTAGTCTGAAATCCATTCTTTATTTTTCACTGAAAACCTGTGAGCAGTAAACTCTTTTAGTGTCGTCATGTCTGATAATGTCCTAGTTTGCTCTCACCATTAGATAATAGTTTAGCTGTAAAATAGAATCTTTATATCAAGGAATCTTTATTTTATCTGTGTTAGACTGTACAACTTTCAACTTACCTAAAACATTCTTTAATCTTAATACAATTTGTCTATGCGTATGTTTATTCTTATTTATACTGCATAGTACCTAATGTGCACTTTCAATGACAAAACTTCTATCTTTCTTTAAGGCTAGAATATTTTCAACTATTATATCTGTAAATACTATTTTTCTGCCTTTTCTCCTATT